TTCCCCAGCAATTCCTGCACTAAAACCCCAGAACTGTCTCAATTAAGTCCAGCCAAAAGCAGACCAATGCTAGTCCACAGTGGTATAGCCAATGAGTCCACAAGACACTTGAAAGTTTCCCAAACAAGATAAACCCAGTAGGCAAAATTAAATGTACAATATAAGAGGGTTCACAAGACAAGAAAAGTCCAGAGTTTACAAGGCATGATCCATGTCAGGGCATGGTGTCAATCCAAAGCAAGGCAGGAATCCCAACAACCAGGAAAAACGCAGTTAGGAAATGAAGATGTTATGCCTGGCTGAGGAATTCTGGGAGTTGAAGTCCACAAATCATAAAAGGGCCAAGTTTGAAGACCCCTGCATTATTCCCAGCAACACTGTCTGCTATGCTAAATAGCCAACTTCTGGTACAGCCCATCAAGAAGGATGAGGCTACTTCCTCACAAGTAATCAGATTGACCTTTGCCACTCCTGCCTTTTCTCTGCCCTACGTATTCTTGGATCAGGTGCAGAAGGCAGTTCCTCTTCCTCATCGCTAATTGGCTGCAGCTCATTCTTTCCTCACCTGAAGCCTCAGAGCTATCCTGCTACAGCTATGCTTCAGCCAAATCCTTCTCAGACAGCTGCTTGGAGCCACTGACCAACTCCCCTCCAGATGTGCCCAGAACTGGCTCATCCTCCTCCAAGCTAACATCTGGAGAGGTATCTGGGGAAGCATCCAGGGGAGTCATCACACTTATTGTAACCTATGTGAACTCATGTTTTGGTCTCAATTTATTCCTGCCTTCCCTCCATTGTATGAAATTGTGCCAACTCACCAAATCTGTTTCTTGATTACATGCTTTTTTTATATGTCTCACATTTTGACATGTGGAATTTAGCAGTAGCAGCAAGTTAGATCTCCAAATTGCTCATCTGCATGCTTTCTTTTGCCCTTGGCTGCTAGCAACAAGTTGTAATTAGACTGCTGTTCTTGTACTACCAATATTTTTTCAAAGGAATTAAAATGTGTTGACTGGTTTTTCTAATAAGAATCTTGAACTGGAAGCACACATAGGAAAAGATTTGTATAACAAACTAACCCAATTTTTGAGTTTGGAGAACACACTGAACTTAAACCAAAGTGCACATAGATAGGACTCACTTTTGTACACTAGGATTAAATATCTGGAATGTATCATGAACATTAGTCTTTAGCAAAAGACAAATTGCTTATGAACTAGTCAATAACACCTTGTCTATTAACAGATTAGAAAATGTGTGGTCTGGAAATCAGATTCCCTTATTGGCCAGTTGTCTGGATTTCCTGGGAGTAAAAAGCCTGATATCTATGTTGATGTCAATTCAGGAATCTATCTCAGTCATTAAGTCCTTAGTGAGATGTGCAATACCGCAATGCTAACTCTGTAAAACTCTGATATGTTTAGCATAGGATTATCCAAAAGAAAATGTGATTCTGGTATTGCCCTAATTTTTTAAGCAAATGTTCCCTTGAGAAAGGTAGGCTTTGCAATAAAAATTAAAGGCTCTTGGTTATTTAAATAGCTAGTATGGTTTTGTTATCTTGCCCTCCACCTCACTGTGTATTTGTGTGTTTTCTGTAGAACTGGATTCTTTTGGTAGTTTCAGATTCCCATTGCAGCCATTTCCACATTCAATTCCCCATCAAACCCCTAATGTAACAGGAACACTGAAATGGAAATCTTTTCATCAGGGTGATTCTCCCATAAAAGTCTGATCACCTGCTTGCTTGCAGTGCTCATAAATTTCAATGGTACTTGCAAGCAATCAATACTGTAGAGTTTGTATTGAAGTAAATCATGCTTTGTGGGTAGAAATCGTGTTAATGGAGTGTAATCATGTGCCAATTAACCTTGGTTTTTTTTTAAACCTCCAAGTACCACATTGGGGGGGGATAACACCAAAATAAATACTAAATTAAATCTTAAATTTAATTAATTAAACACAACTAGTAGAATTATTCCTCATAGATTTCATTTGATAAATTGGAAGTGATCTGGTAGCCACATCATGTAGCCCTGGGCCTCAAGGTTGGTCATCTCTGATTTACAGCATAGCTTTCCATGGAAACAGTCACAGTTAGAAGGTCAGCAGAAGATCCCACTCATTGTAGCTAAGTGTGTTTCAAGTCTTTGTTGAAGAAACCCTCTTGAAGTCAAGGATGATCAACTGAATGTATTAAGAGCCCTACCACAATAGAATGAGATTGCTGGAAATAGAAATGCCAAAACCAGTCCAAATTCCTCAACTGAATCTGAGAAAGTGATGAAATCTTTCCAGTTCTTATAGCGCTGTCATGCTTTACACATTCAGGGACAAAAAAACAGTCTGCATTTTAAAAAAAGTCAGTTTCCTTCACGAGAGGGATAACCTATTCATAAATAAAATAAGATATTCTTCAAAAACCATGCTCGGCTGGAAATCTCAGCAGTTCTGACTTTATATATCAATAGTATCTATTACTATCAGTTACTGAAATTGTTGTGTTGCTGATTTCTTTGTCTTTATGGAATAATCCCTAGCCCTTGTGCTGGGGTTTGGAATCTAATTTGTTACTTCGAATATCATATATGAATTTTGGCCCAATTATGACTCCTTCTGTACATTCCTATTTGCAATTTTAATCTAATTACTGGCTGCTTGTTCTGAGTATGCCTTGACTGTGGCAGGCCAATTTGCACTAAATGAGCAAGTTTTTCTGATGTCCAATTCTTAGACAATAGTGCAACAAAATAAAGTCATTCTCCTAAATTATACGGTTGCAATGAGCATGCTTAAGCATCTGGGAGAAGATAATTGTACAGAAGAACTATAACTTCTATTTGATTCTCATTCTTAAAGCAAACTCCAGAATGTACGATTCTTTAGCTGTAATTGTTTGCCCTTTTAATTTGTTTCTTGTTGGTGGATGTTGAGATTCCATTTAAACAAAAAGAAACAGAAACCCTTCAACCCTGTATATCTTTGGCATGCTGCTACTGAAGTATGCAGTGTACAACCTCTCTCCAAACTTCATTATGTTAATTTGTAATATCAATATTCAAGAGATTTTGCTATGAGTAATTCCAAATATCTCTCCCAGGAATAGTTGTGAGCTTGCTTTAATTCAGGCGTGTCCAACTCACGGCCCCACAAGATAATAAAAATATTTTTAAAGAAGTTTTTAATAATGTTATATATGTTTTAATTGACTAAATCATGCACTTACAGACTAGAAAATGAATTTTCAAGTCATAACATCACAATATTTTTAATGATTAGCTATGTCTTGGGCTTCTTTTTGTTCTTTTCCCCCTTTTTTTTATTCTTTTTTTCCCCTTTGTAGTACATTGCTCACCTTGTGTTTGCAAATAAATCCTACCAGACTCAATAATACTTAACTCATAATGGATTAAAAATGGTAGTCTTGAAACACTGACCAATGCCACTTTTTAGCTGCTGTTGATATTTTAGAAAGGAAAATATATATTTGAAATAAAAGGTTTTTTGAATACTTGTGTTACAATAGAATCACTTTTTTCCCCATGTCTTATTTACCATTTTGCCATGGTACATTATTTAAAATAACAATAATTAGGTTTCATGGTTTACTCCATCTCTTTCTCATTTCTCCATAGGTGCCTGTTATGCCTCTGTCTGTTTTATGCATTCTGCCTTACTCTGACTGAGGAAAGAAAAGTTAAGCAGCCAAGGATTTGGCTTGTCTTAATGCTTCTGCTCTTCTTTGAGAAGTGTGACATCTCATCTGATGTGTGTTCCCTCTAGCGGTATGCTATTTCCTGGTACAGTGAACGTGTCCATGTGTCTCAGTCAGACTCTTACCTTCAGGCCCTAGAGCAAAGGAAAGGTTGGCTGAAATCCCTACTGCACTAGCATAGAAATTATCTCAGCTCTGGAAATGGCAGAAATACTGGAGTTTCCCCCCCGACTAACAATTCACTAGCACTGGAACTTTCTCCCAAACAAAATAAAATGATAATTTAGGAATTTAATTATTGAAAGAGGTGAAAATGAAATAAGAAGTTGAAGGGGGACTTCTGGAAGAGTTAAGATAGAGGGGAGACAGTGAGTTTGTTGATATCAGTTGAAGAGAAGGGAATGGAATGGAACGGAATGGAACAGAACAGATCTTATAGGTCTTCTAGTCCAGGGCTTTTCAACCAGTGGTACGGGTACCACCTGTGGTACATTGGCACCTTGCAGGTGGTACGCGACCATCCTAGAAAAGTGGTAGTGGGGGAGGGGACTGAGCTGAACTGGTGGCAGCACCGCACAAGCCTGAGTGAGAGATGGCTGGAGCTGCAGGGCTGTCAGGGCTCAGCGGAAGCGCCAGGATCAGTGCCGCTTTCCAACTGATCGGCGCTTCTTTGTGGCTGTCAGTGGAAGCATCAGGATCAGCACCAGGCTCCAGCTGGAGCTCGGCATTGATCCTTGTGCTTCTGCTGAGCCCACAAGAAGAGCCGATCAGCTGGAATGTTGCAGCATCTCCAGAGTCTTGTGATTTATATTCAGATGCTTGGCAACTGATTCATATTTATGATGGTCAGTGTCCTAGGGTCATATGAAGTGACCAAAACCTGCTGCAACCACCCATCAGACGGGGGGAATAAAAACCAAACACCTCCACCCCACCCCCACTGCCAATCATCAACAGAAATGCTCACAAGAATGAAAACCTCAAATAGGAGGAAGAGCGCCGCCAGGTGGGCAGGCAGAGATCTTGCTCGTCTGTGGCTTGGGGGGCACTTTTTTCAGTGCCATTGTAACTTCTAAGAGTCAATAAGTGAACTGTTGTAAGTCGAGGACTACCTGTACTTTATCACTTTTTTCATTTTTTTTTTTTTTGTCATCATGTTTTTGACACCTTGCTAGGCAACTGGTGGTACTCGGATATTGCCATATCCTAAAAGTGGTACAATGGGTGAAAAGGTTGAAAAGCCCTGTTCTAGTCCAACCCCCTGCTCAGGCAAGAAATCCTATACCATTTCAGACATATAGTTGTCCAATATCTTCTTAAACACATCCAGTATTGGAGCATCCACAACTTCTGGAGGCAAGTCATTCCTCTGATTAATTGTTCTTTTTTAAAAAAATTAAAAGAGCTTTCTACAAGGTGCCTCATCCTCCTTCATTCTCCAGATGAGATGATGATTCATACGCTGCTGGATTTAAAACAGGGAAGAATCATAGCCAAATAAGGGCTTAGTTTAATTGATTATTCCAATTATTCACTTTTCAGGAACAAACTTTACTTTTCCTCTCTTTCTCCCACTAATACACTCACAAAGAGAAACCAAATAAGCAGAATATATAAGCATGACATTTTTGCTCAGTTGAAGTGTAGAGAACTGATCCCAGATTACCAATAGCCACTGCTTAGGATAAGACTCCAAAGACTTTTCCTAGTCCAGGACAGTGATTTATATTATTTGCAACGTATTAATGTTTTTGGTAAAATATTTTACACTTTTTATGAGCACTAGGCACAGATTTTTCAGGGACTGGATTCATTCTTTGTTTTAAATTTGAGTAGTGTTCATGTTTGTCAGTATTTCAGACATTATACTTACCTTGGTTTCCATTAAATCCCATTAATGTTTTTTTTATTGGTACATGGGAAATTAGAGAGACAGTTTGTATAGTGTTTAAGACATTTGACTAGAAACTGGGAGAGATTAGATGAATGACCTTGGGCCAGTCAATCTCTCTCAGCCCTGGGAAGAAGGCAATGGCAAACCACTGTTGAAATCTTGTCAAGAAAAACACAGGGACTAGATGAAGCCATCAACAGGAGTCAACACTAACTAGAAAGCACAATAGAGATAGAGGTACAGAATCTAGTTTTAAGAATATTTACCTGCCAATTTATATAATTTAGTGCATGAAACAGTTCATGAAGCTTTAGTCCACATGAATATGAATGTATCAGTAATTTATGATTTTGAAGACAGAGCTTATTGCCCTAAATTCTGTTTGCCATAAAGACGCTAAATAGTTATTTTAATAAATAAAATTAGTGCTGTCAATGTTGATACTCTTTTTAAATAAAGTAGCTCATATGCAGAGTTGTCCTTATATATTTTTGACATATGAACCAAAAAATAGAGAGGGCAATTTCCCTGGATATTAACACAAAAATAATAAGAAATGACAGCTTGTCACTTTTTGATTGCATCCAGAATATGTGGCTGAAACTTTTTAGTCTCAGGGCAGGACAGCTTGAGGATTAGCTATGACTTCAGAAAGTGAGAATGATCCAAGGGATCCAAGGGTGTTACAAGAAATATAGCACCTTTTGCTTTTATATCTGTATATATATATTTAATATGCCAGAATCTTGCCTGGAGAGAGAGAGAGAGAGAACCACAGTTCTCTAGACAGAACATCAATTTATGTCCAAAGATCACAAGGATCTTCAACTCATAAGATAATAGATTCAACTTCTCACTTTTTAAAAAAATATAATTAATATCCTACACTTGATCTGGCCGTTGTTTCAAATGCTGTTTGCATTTACATCTTCCCTGGAATATGGCCTATGAAAACTAAAAAAAACATTAGCGTTGGATATCATTGTTATCTAGGTATGCTAAATTGAAAGACAATGAATAGATAAAGATAATTACAAACCTTTTTGCATGATCATGGCATAAATGCTGCCCACTGTGAAGAAAAGCATCTGTAGATTCTTACAGGAAAAATAACTTGCCAGGTTTGTCACTGCTAATATTGTCAGTCCTTCTGTCATGCCTCCATGCAGTTGGAGAAATGGGGGAAAATAATAAATATATTGCAATAAAAAATCAATCTTGTTGAATGAGTTAGAATTTTGTATACCTGTCACCTTGCCTGTTTCAGGCTTGGACTTGTGTCTTCACAAGAAGAAAATGGTATTTCATTTGAATCTTCCACTTTATACAGGCTTATTATGGGCTGAAATATGCAGCTGTTTTTTTCAAACATTGGACTAAACTTCGATTGTTCAGTAAACCAGAATGACTAGTTATATGATATAAGCCATGGTATAAAGCTGGACATTTTTTAATAACAACAACAACAACAACAGTAAATTTGGAAGGGACCTTGGAAGTCATCTAGTCCAACCCCCTGCTCAGGCAGGAAACCCTATTTTGTTTAGATTTTTATCATATCTTCTTTTTCATATACAACTCAAGATGGAAACATACCAATACTCCTTCCTCCTCTTAAAAAGGTGGGTTGGGCTGAAAGAGTGACTTGTCCAAAGTTACCCAACCAGTTTTCATACTTGAGGTGGGACTAGAACTCGCAGTCTCCTGGCTTCTAGGTCAGTACCTTAACAATTACACCGAACTGGCTGTTTATACGGTATGTTTTTAAAATACAAATTTGTAAAATAGATTTGAAAGTATGTAAATTGGATAATTGCTAGATTTACACATTGCATTAAGCCAAAGACAAGCTTTTTTATATAGTAAACAAAACAATGTTTAACATGACTAAATGTGAATTCAACCATTAAGCAAGACTATATAGAATAGAATAGAATAGAATAGAATAGAATAGAATAGAATAGAATAGAATAGAATAGAATAATAACTTTATTGTTATACCATATGGTAACTTGCATTCAGTCCATGAGCTATGTCTATTTGAAAGTCAAGCTAATTCTGCATTATAAATTATCCTGTAGAGACAAAGATGCAGTGGTGGGATTCAAATATGTAAACAACCAGTTCTCTGTGTAGATGCTGGTTCCAGAAGTCCATTCTGGGCCTGGGCAACAAAAAAATTAGCTAGTGGTTCTACTGAACTGGTGCAAACCAGCTGAATCCCACACTGCAAAGATGCATCATATAGTTTAATGTGTCATGACTGGATATAACCTTGTAGTTTTCTTAGTAAATATTATGGAAATGATTTACTATTACTGTCTTCTGGGATGTTTTTCAATTCAGTTTCTCCATCTACCCTGGTGGTATCTCATCCGACCCAAGTCAAACACAGTTTGACATCTCAGTCCAAAAAGGATAGGCTAAGTCCTCATCAAGGTAGGGATGATGGTAGTGTTCTTGAGAGAGATAAGTGAAGAATGTCGGAAGTGTATATCCAGAGTATATAGTCCCAACAGAGTCACCCAAGGTGTAAGGATCATTCCAGTTGCCTCATTAAAACAAACAGCTACCCATATTGGCAGTAGCGATATATGAAGATGCTGGAGGCAGCTGATTATCTTTGTAACAATGGCATGGGCATCAATTCACTGTGCAGGAGAAGGCAATGGCTAACTACCCCTATATTTTTACCAAGAAAACCACATGGTATAAAATATGACACAACTGATGATATAGTACCAAGTGATGGGCTCCTCAGGTCAGATGACACTCAACATGCTACTAAGGAAGAAATTAGGATCTTTAGGGCTATTAATGGTATTTATGATATGGCTAAATTAGAAGCTTTGGGACATCTAATTGCTGATGTTGCCATGCAGAAAAAGAAAATTTGAAGCTGCAAAGATGGAATTATAGTAGGAACACAGATATTAGAAATATAAACACAGGAAAGTTCAACACAGTGAAAGATGAAATGAAGCAACTACAAGTTGATGTCTTAGGCATCAGCAAATTGAGATGGACTGAAATGAGACATTTTCAGTTAGAAGATAACACTGTTTATTACTCAGGATGTGGAAAAATAAGAAAGAAATTGTGTTTATTTTGTAGTTAGGAAGGCTTTAGCAAGAACAGTATTGGCTGCAATGCAATCAATGAATAATATTGATTAAACTTTGTGGACATTCCCTTAATATGACCCTCATGCATATTGATGCTTCTACTACTAGTATAGACAAAGAGGAGATTTACCTAACATTTTCAAGGAAAACTTCAGGAATTGCTTTGAAATCCTGAGCTTCACTGATACAGAACCGGAGGAATTATGGAATGAAATTAAAGAAGTCATTAAACATGAATGTAAAAACAGACTGCCAAAAATGAAGAAAGCAAACTGGATGTGAGAACAAACTGGAAATTGCCAAGAATAGAAGAGAAGCAAAGCCAAGAAAGACAAAATCTGAGAAAAGAACTTTCTGTAAAAACATAGAAATATGAAACTATCATATTTTGGCCTCATTATTCAGAGACTAAGTTCCCTTGAGAAGTCCATAATGCTGGGAAAATGGAATGAAAGAGAAGAGAATATCAGAAAATGGATGGATTGAATTACAGTAGCAAGAGACTGTAATCAAAGTTAAGATTTCCCAGAGAAAGTCTGTGTGGTCACTAAGAGCTGACATTGACTTGCTGTCACCTAATTATTTTATCATGTAACTAATAAATAGCAAATAAATGCACATTGATATACCTTACAGGATTCAAATATTAATAAATCAAAACAATCAACAAATCTTTCTTTTAAGTGCTGCACTCAATTTTAAAAAATAGAAAGGATAAGGGGAAGCTGGCCTTTTTGGAAACTTATTTGCCCAGATGATCTCTATTTGTTCTGGTCTAGCCAGAAAATTCAAAATTATCTAGAGGCTATATCTTCCTAATCAACTTGGTGATATTTTAAAGGTGCAGTTTATTTTGTATTAGCTTCACTGTTGTATAAATGTGATTAAATGGGAAAGACCTTTTTAGAGACTAAGGGTAAATTCCATTTATTTATGCCTCTAAGAATGGAGTCAATTTAGAAGTTGTCACACCTTGTTCATTTGAATCCAGCCATTTTGGCTATGTGAACTCGATATAAAAAGTTAATGCAATGTGATGGGGGCAGGATTATTCAGCAACCATCAAGAATATCTATGGAGATTCTCAGTCATCCAGGTCATAGTTATCCCAAAGATGCTTTTTCACAAGACAACTGGACTTCCTTTGTTTTTCCAGCTGTCTGCAAGGAGTATAAATCCTTCCATTTCCCCACCATCCAGTCAGAGCTGAAGAAGATTCTTGGATGAGAAGCAAAATATCTTCAAAGAAACAAGAAAGGCCCGTTACCTCATGAAAAAGCATCTTTGGAGCAATAAGGGAGCCTATCACAGTTACAGTAGTGCAGATAGTAAGAAGAGAATTCCAAGCCCAGAGAACTTAATTTGGTCCACAATCACTAATCCAAGCAGAAAGTGGCATATTTGTTTAACTATACATCTTAAATATGACTCTACTCCTTTCTTCAAAGCACCTATGCACTGAAGATTTCTGCAGACATTTTAAAGAGTATCCAGTGGTCTTTGGCAAGAGAAGGAGGAAAATCTTCATTTCTCAATTGGGCAGTATTCCTCTAAAAGAAAAAAAAAGAGAATAATTGTGGTAATTTTGCCTTGAGATGAATGCAAAGTTAAAGAAAAAGTAAATGTTCCAGATTTGTAATATGACATTCTGTTCTGTTCCATTCTGTAAAGAAACAAAATCCAGTCTCTCTCTCTGTAATTATTGGAATTGTTCCACTCTCTAGCTGAGAGGGCTGATAAGCTCAGAAAGGTTAAAAAGCAAATAGAAGGGTTGGTTGTCTAACACTCAGTGTGCCGATTCATTCTTCCTTGTAAAATATCATCTAGTCAAGTTCTCCCCCACTTCTTTCAAAATGTGTGATAGAGGCTTTCCCAAACCTTAAAGAACTAGGAAATAGTTTTTTTTTTCAAACTGGTTTTTTTTGTTTTGTTTTTTGCAACTATTTTGACAGAGGGGAAGAGGAGGGTCATTTGATGCTGTTTTGAAAAGTGTCAGGGTAGGGATCAGGTGCCCAGGCAATTGGTTCTTTTGGATTCAGAGACAATGAACACCTGTATATAAAGGGATATATTAAGCCATATCATTAGCACAAGCAAACAGGTTTAAAAGCATAATATAAAAAGCACACATGTCAAGGAAGATATGACATCCAAATCTCTTATAAGCTGCTTTAATAATGACAGCACAAATACCCCAAGGGTGACCGGTTTCCATAGTATTCAACGCTAGGTACTGTGCAGAAGCTCTCCACAAACAACAATACCCCCAAGTGTTTTATTAAAACCTGGTACCATGACTTCATGGTCCTGCTATGGTCATGAGACTGCAAGACCTGATCTTGACTGGCTGGCACACGACTCTGCAATGGGAACCAAAGTATGAGATTTTCACAAGTTTGCAACTATGTGAAGACTGTCACCTCTTCCTCTTTATTCAGCAAGCAAGAATGAAAAACAAGCAGATTAGCTCAGAATGAACACTAAACATTTAGACTTTTCTTAATATGAAGAAGAAATTAAAATAGTTCACCAAACTCCTTGAAATAACAATGGTCTTCTATATTAACACTACAGATGCATGTTAGAAATGGCAGAGTCACATCATGTAATTGCAACCCTTTATTGATTCCAGTTCTGTTTAACCAAAACTGTCAGAGCATGCACCAAGGTAACCTAGGAGTAAATACCATAAACAGTGGTCTGTATTAAATGGTGGTTTATCACACACTATCTACAAATATACACTAGAAACAAAATACATACATGTGGTCATTCAGCAAACTCCAGTACGCAGAAATTACAGCAGGAAACAGACAAAAGAGAAAGACTCCAGCATGGCCTTCCCTTTTATACTCAAGCTCTTAAAGGGATACGGGCTTCTGCTTAGTCATTCCTAACATTGCATCATTCATTTCATATTATACAAGCTGGTTAGCGTCTAATCATTACCTTGACAAAAACTAATGGTGAAATTGCAGCTGCAACATTTGTCAGAGAGGAAAGTGAACAATGATTGATCTATTTTCTAAAGAAAAGTGATTTTGTAACCCTGCATTGGACTACACTTTGGGAAACAACTGTCTTTAGGCCGCACTCTCAGGGTGCCAGAGGAATGTTAGCCAAGGGTTATGGGAGTGGTACAAATAGTCCTTGTTTACCAACAATTGGAACCAGCAACTTGATCATGAAGATTAAGACCAAGAAGCTTAAGACTTCTGTGTTGCAAAGACACTTGTACCATTGTGTGAGAAAAACCCAACACCTGCAAATCCAATTATAGTCCTTTTGCATATATACACTATACTATACCCAATTACCTATAGAAGGCTGTCCTGTTAATTCTTCATATTCTGAGTCAGTCCTTGTTTAACCAAAATTATGTGATTCCTGCAAAAGCTGAAGGGGGAAGTCAGCAGCTGGAGATTTCATATTTTCTCCTTAAGATTTTCTAAGCAAGAGGAAATTTGGAAAATATACATTAGGACCCAGAGGCAAGGGAGAGAATACAATGGTTGGAGGAACTCTTGGACAGAATTATTCCAGTTCTTAGTTGGAAGCTCAAAGCAAGGGGACTGATCAGTGCCTCTCAAATAGGGTCATCACAAGTGTGGAAGGAGGATAGTTTTTAAAAAGGAAGTCACAATAGTCATAACCAAGCTATCAAAGCTGCTATTTTGACTCAGCAGGTGCTCTTGCTCTCAAACAAAGTGGGACAACAGAAATTAAAAGATAAAAGAGATACATCTATTGTTCTGTATAGCTCTCTATGCCAAGAAGCCTGGCAAATCAGGATCTTCTTTTCTCTGCCAATAGGTAGAAAACTCCCCCTTCCTATATTCGAGAATTACTAAGAGTAATTTCAAGTTTAGTTTGTACCCAGCATGCTTCCAGCAAGTCCCTAAATCCAGGTCAAGCAAGCATGCACACTGCTTAATTCTGCTAGAAAAAAAACATAGCTTGATATTTATTTAGCAAACATCCAAAATGGTTAACTGCCAAAAATGGAATAAAAAGCAGAGCGAGTAGGGAGAGAGAAAGAGATGTGAACAACAAACAAGAGACAAAAAGGCAGAAGAGTTAATAGCAATAATCAACATTACCTGTCAATCAATGGCACCAAATTTTCCATAGCTGTTGGGAACAATATTATGAGAAATTAGCTTGGAGGGTTTCAAAGGGACTTCATTCTTCCAGCTTTACCCCTTTGATATATGTAACAATAGCAGAAAAGAGATGGAAAGCCGGACACCAGGTGATCTCAGTTCTGTATCATGAAGGAAACAATTTAATGGATGGAGATCATGTACTCAACAGAATGAAGCCCTGGTATCCTCAACTCACTATTGGGGTCAAGCAGCTCTCTTCCCTGAGAGAAATAATCATGAATGACCAAAGAGTGGCACTCAGATAATGCTGAGAAATCAGAGGAGGAAAAGTTGAAGTCATCTTCCATCTGTGCATTGGTTAGTTTCGCATGATGCATTATGTGATTTGTATGACTTTGGTTCAGTGATTTATGTGAATTCAGCCATTGTGGCAAATAAACCATGGATTCCATGGATTGAGGCATTGGTGAAATCATCAATTTTAGGATGTTCAGTAAAACAAATATGCAAACACAATTATTTATTTATCTGTTTCACTAGGCCAGGGGTAGGCAACCTTGGCTCTTTTATGACTTGTGGACTTCAACTCCCAGAATTCCTGAGCCAGCCATGCTGAGGGGAAAGGGAGAAGTTTCCATACTGAGCCATGCTGGCTCAGGAATTCTGGGAGTTGAAGTCCACGAGTCATAAAAGAGCCAAGGCTGCCTACCCCTGCACTAGGCCATGGGGCAATTTGTTTTCTCTTGGCCAAAGACAAAACAAATCCAACCAAAAGTGATTTATTCAATATACCACATTGAGTGAACAGCATGTGCCTCTTTTTCAGGTTTTTCGTGGCTGGGGCAGTGGGGGGGGGCAATCCTGGATTAAGAGAAGATTCTGTGAGTGTTTTGTCTTCTCAGAGTTTTGAAGCATTTGCTGCTAGCACTGACTGTGGAATGAGCTGAGACAATGCCTAACTGAATAATGTCACACAGATGTTCATTCATCAGGGCATTCCAGAGCTTTGTTGCAGTAATTCAATACTCATACCTTTGCAGTGTGAATGCTCCACAGCAGCTCATTTGGCCTCTTTACTATTAAATCCTTCTTTGAAGACAATTTAATTGATAATCCTCCTTTTATTTGGCTATCACAAGTGAAACAGTTTGAAAATGATGCTTCTTTTGCATTTGCTGAGCTCTAATCATCCGCTGCACTAAATAAGGCTCTCAAGGCTTTGGAGAAGCCATAGAGATGATCATACAAAGGACCTGTTAATCAAGTAAGATTAAAGGCAAACATGGGCTCGGATCCACTATTTATCTTGAGTTTGGGTTGTTTTTTTCCAAAAAACTTTATTTGACCATGAAATGGAGACTTTCTTAAAAACTGATTTCCCAAGTGAATTTATTGGATATTTTTAGTTTATATTAGCATTCTTAAAACATTCAATTGTCTCATTCTTCACAAGAGGTACCAGTGAGATAATACAATGGAAAGAATAATGGTAACATAAAGAGCTTTTTTAAGAAATGTAACCAACATTATTTAAGCATGTAATACTGACAGATCTACTCCCTATTCTAATAAGATAATGTGGGTTTTATTTTCACTTTGAATTTGCTTGCTACTCAAATCAGGCTTTCTTAAAGACACAGTTGCCTTGTCTAATCATATATTTATCTATCTCATGTACTTTTTAATCACCTGATATTTTGTTCATCTCTGTAGTAAAAAAATGTTTGTAACCTTCAGTTGGGTGAAATGGTACATCATAGGGCAACAACCAAATGCTTGTGTATCTCCATGCACTCACAATCTGCCCCACACCCCCTTGCACCTCTCCTGCAGCCCTGTGCACTCTTCCTGATTCGTATTGCATATTGTGTGTCTTCCCTGGCACATGCCCCCACCCAGCTTCAGAAAGGAAGGAAGGAAGGAAGGAAGGAAGGAAGGAAGGAAGGAAGGAAGGAAGGAAGGAAGGAAATCACCTCCACTCCCAGTGCTGGTTTTTTTTGCTCACATATGGTCATTCTAGTTTTCTGTTTAGATAAGGAAATATCAGATTGCCTAGTATAACACAAATTTATGCTTTGAATTGCTTGTCCAGTGCCTAGTTTTAGATATTTACAGCCTCTTCATATTTCATACTGAATATATAAACACACACACACACACACACACACACACACACACACACACACTTACCCTATGAAGTTCATCAGGTGCCATGGACTATCATCCAGACCCTCCCTCCCCATCAGGTCCCAAACAGAAGAACATACATCACAGACACTTCGTATCACTCTTCCGTATATTAACACCGTCTCAGAAACCACGGCTAGAATATTGGCACCCTATGATGTGAGGGTGGCACATAACTCCAACCAGACGCTGCGATCTAAGGTGATGAGATTGAAAGATCCACTCCCCACCATAGAGAAGTCCAATGTCATTTACAGGATCAACTGTGAAGGTTGCTCTGCTAATTACGTGGGGGAGACCTCCAAACGTGTCAAAACTAGAATTCACGAGCATAAGTTGGCGGTAAGGAGAGACGACCAGTATTCCCAAATCGGGGCGCATATGCTAGAATCTGGGCATAGGTTCGATTTTAGCAACGTGCAGGTGATGGCCAGTGACAGCACGAAGGGGGGCCGGCTCCTTAAAGAGGCGTGGCTCTCTAACGAAGAATCCATCAACAGACATGTGGACCTATGCCCAGCACATGTAATATTAAGAGCATGGACAATGCGCGACCGTCCCTCCGGAGAAAAACGATGTAACATTACGTGCCTTCGGCAAAGAGGGTTGACGGAGGAGACGGGCCTTGGAAACACCCAGACAGGGAATAACCAGCAGCAGAGTAACTCACCACCTGCTGAAACATATGCCCCTCCCTCATGGACACAGGAGTGGATTGACAACCAAGAGCCAAGTGCCGATAAATTGAGGGTCTCCCCAGGAACAGCGAGGAGTTTGACAAAAAAGCGATCTGGTATAGATTTTGGATTATTAAACAACCATGATTCGAAGGATTGGAATGCCACGTGTAATTCCACCGGCGATCCTGCAACTAACTTTATTAATGACATTCCCCTTTTGAATTGTTATTGCCTTGGGAACGCAGGAGAACAACGGGGAGATGAGAAGCCTGTTCGCTATAACCTTAGAGCTTCCACACTCTCCTACAGACATTTGAGAGGTACGACTCCCCGTAGGAATGCACAAGGAGATGCAAGTCACAATCGTAAGGATTCCGCCCCTCTCCTTTTAAGGAAGATTGCATACCCCCAAGTAACGAGCAAATACACAAACAACAGTGAAGGGATAGCTCCCTCGGAAAAAGGGGTCAGCAATCAATTTGTGGGTGCCACGAATTCTGGAGAGGGTGTTAAAATCACCCCCATTGAAGAGAAAATAGAAAGGGGAGTTAATAAAGCGATACGAAGGATCGGGAAACAGGATGATGTAAACACAATGGAATCTTGGGCTACAGAGACAAACAATGAGGATATAGTTTTGAAAGAGGATCGTAAACAGAGAAACAGGGGGAGGAGAAGAGAAATAGAGAGTACCAAGAAGGAGGATGAGGTGAACAAACAACATAAACACAGACAGTGCACATCTAATTACGTGGAATTAAGGAGTCCCCCCGACTTACAGTTATGCAAAGAAGGGAGGAAGAGCTGCCGTACCAGCACAAGTAAGGAAAGTGAGGAAATTACAGCT